GCTAACCATCAACATACCTACTGGGATTACATATCTATCAATTATTATTTTGTTGAGAGGTGCATAGTAGTAGCATTTGATTTCCAATTGTAATTTTGAGAAATCATAGTTTTTGAGTTTAAGCATGTGTTTTCAAATCATGAAATCACTATTTGAAACCCAAATTATATTTACCAAACACCCCCTAAGATAAATCTATAGTATAATTGAATTGTAATATACTTATAGAAATATATAAAGTATTATATTATAGGAGAATTTATTCATAATACTTAAAGACTTTAATCCTAATCTCATTGTTTCCTATATGAATAAGTGCTTAGTTGTTTCAAGATCCATCCCCTTATCACTCCCTTTAACTATACACCTAGTACTGTGACTAAACAACTTAAACCATAGTTGTCATATTTGATTAATTATACTAACAAACATTAAATACATATATTGCAAAATTTTAACTACTAGTAACTGCCACTTGGGCCATCATACACTCTTTTTTCTTATTAAGCTTCTGGTATAATACTTGTACCTTAATTAATAAAAGTACAACCAGGTCAAAAAGTTAGACTGATCTGCAAAGTTACTATGACAAGTCACAAAATTAAGTTGAACCGCCAAATTACTACGGAGGTACAGCTAATAAGTTTTGTACATTGAACTAGCAGGGGAGTTGCATTAGAGCAGGTGGTGGGAGCAAATCTGGTATAGTACGAGGAGCAAGGTGAATATGAAAATGTGAAATTTTTTAAAAATCCAACATTGTAATTGTGATACTAGTATAGTGATTGCAATACGGTGATTCCAACTTAGCAAGTATCCCAAAATTGATGAAGAACCCAAAGTGATACCGGTACTGAAATGGAACATCTTAGTACTTCAAGTTCCCATCTGACACAGGATCAGAGGCAGGACTGTCAACTTTTATGCTCAGTTGGATGGTGCTATGCCCAAATTCAAGAGAGAACCGGTTATACTCGTTGTCAAATCCAATATGCATGTACCTCACCAGCTACTCCAACAAAGAGATCAGGATGCCCTCCTATCCTTTCCCATGCCCAAATTGAGGAGCTCATTACTTATGTCTGCTCTTCAGCCAGGAACCAGCATCTCTCTTTCCAACAACTTGCTAAAGAGTTGGAATTAGGTGTAGGGAAAACTACAGTAAGATCAGCATTAATTAAGGAAGAATTTCACCGCCGTTATGCTATGAGAAAACCCCCAATTACTGAAAGAAATAGAGTTATTTGGCTTCAATGGACTCATGATCATGTCAACTGGACAATGGACTAGAGGTATTCAATCCTCTGGACTGATGAAACCTGGATTACAGGTAGAAGACATACAAGAACCTTGGTTACAAGAAGGGCTCGTGAGGAATGGGATCCAACATGTATTGTTAAAAAACATCAGAGGCAGAAAGGATGGATGTTCTGGGGCTGTTTCCATAAAAATGTACAGGGTCCAGGAACTTTTTGGGAGAAGGATTGGGGGTCAATTAATTTAGAAACTTACTGTGCATATAGAGTTCCTATTATACATGGGTATTTTGAATTGTGCTGGCACAATGGAATCTATTTAAAACTAATGCAGGATGGGGTACCAGGTCATGCAGCAGCTGATACAGCTACTGAACTTTGGGAAAGAGGAATTCTTGTCATTTACTGTCCTCCATTCTCACCAGACTTGAATCTGATTGAACGAGTATGGCATATCATGAAAAATTATTTGCAAGTTAATTGTCCTGAAAATATGACATACGATTGATTACGGAATGCAGTAAAGGAATCATGGTATACTATTGCACCATCCAAATTTAGGGAACTGATTGGATCCATGTCAAGCTGTAATCAATGCCAATGGCCTATTTACAAAATATTAAAACCTTTTATGGCAATTCTTCACTATCTTCCGCAAAGTCTAAAACTATCCCTCCACACAGATCCCAGCAGCCTATGAGTCCCTATTCCAGGCTGCCTCCTACAGCCCCCCGCCCACTTCCAGCAGTCTCTCACAGTCTCCAGCAGTTCCCCATGGTCTCTCACAGCCTTCCACAGTCTCCCGCAGTTCTCCTCTGTCTTCTGTAGTTCTCCTTAGTTCTCCACAGTCCTTCACAGTCCCCCTCAGTCTTCTCCAGTCCCTGGCGGTCTCCAGCGGTCTCCCACAAGCTCCTGCAGTTCCCTGCAATCCCCCGCAGTCTCCAGCAGTTCTCCGCGGTCCCCCACAGTCTCCAGCAGTTCTCCGCAGTTCTCCGCAGTCTCCAGCAGCTCCCCACGGTCCTCCGCAGTCTCCGGCCATCACCAGCAGTTCTCCGCAGTCCCCTCTGCTAGTCTCCAGGTT